GGGGGGGACATGACACACAGATTTTGGGTTTCGTTTACTTGAAAAAACAGGGGTTTCTAAATCTACCCGGGAGGCAAAATGTAACTAATCTGAGTGCTAAAAATACTGAAAGGCAGATGCATGGTCCTCTTGCAAATACTTGAAATCTAACTGGCTAAGTCAGGTAAGAAACACCTTGATGCAACCTCCAAGTTTAAAACTGGCCCAATCAACCACCAAAAAAAATAAGATACAGCTCTCATGAGCAGCATCGCCATGGATGGTAATACAACAAGAGACTGTGCAGACTGACAATGTTTTAGGTTTAAATGTGAACAGCTGGAGAAGGGTTTCAGCAGAACAGCAATGCAAATATGCAGGATGCAACTGGGACAACAGATCCCATAAGTGAATATCCTCAATGCAAGACCAAATGTTACAGATTAGCTGCTAAAACCTAGATCCATTTTCCTAAGCACAAAAGAGTTTGGGACTACAAATACAGAATGACTCACAACAGAAATACGTTACCTTTAAGCAGCAAGAATTTTTGTGGGTGGTATCTTGTATTGGATAGAGTGCATGATTGGGACAGACACAGGGAAGCTTTCAGGTATCACAGTATCCTCCCCTGAGGCCTCTGGGAGAGAAGCCCACATATTTCATTTACACATGGAGTTTTAAGCCAGCTTTTGTTCCATCTGCCGTTTTCCTCTGCTATGTGGGATTCTCTCCCAGATGCCTGATGGAAAGGATACCCAGAAGCTTGCCCGTGTCTGTCCCAATCGTGCACTTGATCCAATACAAGGCTTCACCCACAAGAATTCTTGCCTCCTGGACCATCATGACAACATCACCTTTGTTAAAAGATATTCATGCATGAATGTATAGCTTTCAAAACACCATAACCTGGGAGAAGCTTCATGAAGACACTGCCCTACCTATGGTCAGGTCACAAATGGATGAGGAGCTACTGAACTTCAGTAGTTAGTAAGCTACTTGGGCCAGGAAAAGAATGGGAGGTAAAGCAATTCAGGTGAGCCTGTCAGCTATGCATTATCTTCATTTTAAGGGGTCTGATAGCTTATTACAAAGTTCACCCAGATAAAACCCAAAACATCAGAAGGGAAGGGTTCAAGCCTGAAGAATATAACAGTGATTTTGAATTTGGTCAAGGTTGGTTGTTTTCAGCATGAGACAACTCACGTACTGATTCAGGATCACACCTTTCATCTTTCTTGTTCTGGTAAGAGTTTGTCTCAAAACGTGGCCAGAAAACTTGTGCTATAAGCTTTAAGCAAAGCTAAATGTCTCCCTCACTAGCATGAGGACATTCTTTACTAAGGACCTAGTAAGAAGAAACACTAAATCTACAGATGTGGGTCCATCTTTGGAGACCCCACTGAAGAATGGTGATCTGTATTATTGCTCCAAAACTCAGAGACACGTTCCCACAGTTCTGCTTCCCATAACCCACAAGCAAGTCGAGACAAGGAATATCTTCATGGGACCCGACTGTCCTGCAACATCCCTTGACACGGGAAACCCTTTGCCCACAATTACAACATATTTGAAGGTCATTTAGGTTAGGATCCCATCTCTTCTTTACAGGCAGAAGAGGCAAAAATCCTGATTTCACTGAAGTCTGATAATACACTCATTAAGTTCAATGGAAGCAGGATTTCACCCAGGAAATCTGGTGTTAGTACTTAATACTTTAAAGATCAGCTTTTTAAAAAGGATAATGCACTGCTGTCCTTCAGAAAAAATAGATTTGCTGCAATGGAAATTTCATATATATTCCAATATATCCCCAGGCCAGGAGTCTGAGTGCATCCAGATATACAAGAGCATCTCTGAGATGTAGTTTTCATAGCAGTTAGAATACTGAAATCAAGGACCAGGAAGGCAGCTGCAGTTGGGAAATCAAATACTCAGGAGTCCTGTCCTGACCAACTCCCTTACTCCATCA